CAAATATGTCAATTTTGTGAGTCAGTCTGTGAGTCAGTCATTGAAAGGTTAGAATCACTTTTATTAACCGTCTGATGAGGAGGCAAGTCGTAAGAGTAGATGAATGATTAAAGAAGCCAAAGATTTGTGTTTATAGGGAATTTATGAGTCAGTCAATAAGTCACTCACTAAACATAGAAGAGAGAAATTATTAGTTTTATTCAGATCCATTTATCTGAGTAACATTTAAGTAGAAACATAAAAGTATTAAAGAAAAGCATAAATACATATTAAATTAACCGTATAATTATTATGCAAGCTTTAATATCTATATAAAATTAAAAATAATAGTTATTTAACCTCATAGAAAAACCACAATTCGAGTTAATTATGTGTTTGTGTAAGTTTTCATAGAATAAACGAAGATAAAAAAATAAAAAAGTCTTAATTTTAAATGGAGTTTCTTCGTTTTTGACTGACTTAAAATACGAAAAAATATATATAACAAAATATATTTTATTGAGATTTTAACTGTCTATCTGGAGATAATGTCAAGCGTAGTTGCAAGAGTTAAGAAATGATGTGAAAGAATACGTGATATGGTACCATTCTTCAGTCCAAAGATGCAAGTCGCAGTCTCAAGAGGCTTTCTATTACGTTTATAAATGACTGGAAAAAAGGACAGGCGTATCATTTACCAATCGCAAATGACGTTGGATGTGCATCAAAAATTGTAAATCGGAAGCCATGATGGATGCTGAATAAGGAATGGTTTAACATTGCTTCGTCCTTGAAAGACAATAAGTCTTTTTCTATGTCATTTTCGCAAAAATTTTCCAAAAGTATATTTTTCAAATATGATACTGTTATATTTAATTTTTAATCTTCTCTATTTTGAGAGAGGAAAGAATGGAAGACAGTAAAATAAAAAATAAAAAAAAATAAAAGAGAGAATCGCTTCTCCGTCCGAGTTTAGAATTATTTAAATGCGTTTTTTTTAAATACAATAGTTTATAATGCGATTTAAATATATTTATGAACTATTTAAATTTGGTTATATTGGATTATAAATATAAAAACTTATTTAAATTTAATAATTTATTAACGGTTATAATTTTAAAACATTACGATATCGTTGTATTGAATATAGTTAAGCTCCATATAAAATTGTGTAAGAATATTGTAAAATAATTGCAATGTAAATCTTAATCATCTTACTCGTTAAATTTTATTTTATTTAATTTTTTCGGAAAACTTAAAACTTCTCCATCATTTATTATTTTCGCTTTCATCCTCGCATCAGCATCATTCCACCTATCAGTGATTTATAAACTGTTTCTAGTCCTCTCTTTCAATTAATTTTAACTGTAACTCTATGTAAATTAATGTAAAAGGAAGTAAAATTTCGAATATCATTATTATATCAGGATAAAGATTGGTTAAAGTATTAAATTCTACCTCAGTTCATCAAAAATATTCTCTGTTCTTTAATCACATCCAAGGGCACAATCGGATCTGCTTCCTCCCTCCACGCGGTACTTCTTAATCCGTTTTCACCTCATAAAACTAATTCTGATGTCAAAACAGATCATAACTGATCGGACGAATAAGAAGAAGAAAAAATCACTCATAGATATAGCCCTATATATATAATATAAATTAAACCATTTACTACTTACAACATACAATTTAATCTGTCAGATAGAAGTAAAAAATCATTATTGGAACAAATTAAATTGATGTAGTTAGATATTAAAACCCCCAAACGATAATTATTTACAGCTAAATAACGCATGAGCGATTTTAGCAGCGGACTAAAATACTAGATCTAAAGTCTCTTATTATATACATTTATTATTAAGTACAAAGATCCATTATGGGTTTGTTGTGACCTATAATCGAATACGCATGCTCGATATAGCCAAACAAAATCGCTGAAGCAAGACCAAACGTCAATGTTATGGGTTACATACACCGCAGGTGGTGTTCTACCCCCAACAGTGGGCTTAGTAGCAGATGGAACTCTCATCCCATTGAAGAGCGAGAGACTTTATATTGAGAGTAATGATCGTAATTAACTTCCACGCAAAGTCGGAATTGGGGAGGGCGTGAGGTGAGGTTGTATCAAGCCACCCCCTTCCATGCTTTAACGTTAACTTTGCGTGTAGAGTTTTGCCATTTACCAGTTCAGTTGATGAACTTGGTCTCTAGTGGTCCGATGAACAAAACCATTAGATGGAATGACGATAGAATTATATCTGGCAGCCCAAATATTTTAACTATTTAATGAATATTTTAAAAACAAAACGGAGCAGGAAATTACATTAATTGTAATTTGTTTCGACGCTTTTATCGCCGATCTTGACCCATTTTCTATTATTTTTTTAATGAGTTTAAACATCATTTTCATATCTTTTTTATTAGCAAAAAATAAATTAAATGTATATAAACAATATTAATAGATAATTGTTTTAATTGTCTCGATTTAAAATTAATTTATAAGCTATTTTTAATTATATAAATTGCAATTTTATGTATAAATATTATCAAATTCTATCGCTAATAAATAATTAAAATACGTTTTAAATTTGTCGCGTTAAATAAATAAATAGCCTTTTAACCTCCGAGTAGATATTTTATAGTAAAATAATAAATAAAGGTATTTAAAATTTAAAAAATTTGAAAAAATATTCGGTAAAAGATGTAGGCGATCTTTAATCATACAATCTGAAGCTTCACTGCATAACACGCAAGCGAAAGGATAAGATAAATTTACAGGCGTTTAAAACGATAAAACTGGAAAAACTAATTTTACTAACTACAGNGTTTGCTTCAGTCAAAGATAGATCTACATTATCAATGTTAGATCTATTTATGATCATTGCTTCATTTAAAACAATGAAAAAATAATATTTTGATTCTATTCTAATTATAAGAATTAATTATAAATATAAAAAATTACGTGTATATCAAGTGCTTTTAGAAACTAAAATTTAAAAAATTTGAAAAAATATTCGGTAAAAGATGTAGGCGATCTTTAATCATACAATCTGAAGCTTCACTGCATAACACGCAAGCGAAAGGATAAGATAAATTTACAGGCGTTTAAAACGATAAAACTGGAAAAACTAATTTTACTAACTACAGTTTCGTTTTATACTAACTAGAAACAATTTTTAGCCATGGAAACGCGACATTCTATGTCAAGAACCCAAACATAAATGTCAAAACAAATTCTTATGAAGATAAGATTTACAACTATTCTATACTATTTCGTGTTGAACAGGCGGCCTCATTTCACGCATAATAATCACAAAATCCGATTGTTTAAAAATAAAACTAAGAAAATTATCATCTGTTAAATATCTCTTTTTTTTTTCTTTCAAAAATCTAGTTTATAAAAGCATTAAGTTTTAACTAATAAATTTAGTCCCATATATCTTGTGTAGACAACTATTTATAATGATTGTTCCTTCAGATAAACTCTCACGTACCACGATCTGCATTGCACCGCCTTGCTTGGTATCCAATGACTTTACTGTAAACAAATATGGTAAAGCAGACTGACAAATTACGTATTCTTCACGTGATACCGTAGCTACCAATCAGAGTAACTCTATTCATCGATTAAAATACAGACCTACCTACCCATTTGTGTTTTGTTCGATTTGTTTGTATTTATTTCTTAGAATTTTTTACATTTAAAATAAATTTCACTTTATACTATGTTTAAATCTTACTATATTCTTTCTTTCTAAATATTAATTTTTAAAATTTATTTCATTAAATAATTATTTTAAAAATAAATTTATTTGAGGTTCTTTCACTTCTCTCTTATGTCATTTGAAGTAGTTATATCTTAATGTGATATTTTATAACTTTTTTTTATAGGTTTTTAATATACATTTTCTTGCGTTATTTATTCATAAAATATTCGAAGTAACACGAAAAAAATTTGGCTTAGAAAGAACTAAAAATAACTCCAATTATTCAGAAATAATTTAATTTTGTTCAAATAAAAGAAGTTCAAATTTGATCAAATTTTTCTCAACGTACCAAAATCGAATCATGGAAAAAAAAAAATGTTTAAGATTCTAAGAATTACATCAAAACCAATGTAAAACGATAAAGATAAGCTTGAAATTATCAAAATTTGTCGCGTTAAAAATTTAGTTTTCGTGTTAAAATAACAATAAAGTTTACTACAAATTTTATTATTAAATTTTAAATTTATGTTTAGAAATTTAAAAAATAAAAAATAAATAAATAATATAAAAGTATAGTTAGATCATTCTTAAAAGTATCCAATTATAAAAATTTGATTTCATGACGTTTGAACATTAACATTTTGAACCTTACGTAAGACACGTAATAAATATTACAATTGGTTAATGCATTACTCACGACACTAATAAAATATTACCAAAGTAAACAATGTATTTACCATATATTCTCATACAAATCAATAATTTATGTAGATAACAATTTATCAGAAAACATGATTATTATAAAAATCTTTTTTTAAGAATAAATTTAATTAATATTCTGAATATACTTAGCCATGTTTTTAAACTATTTAAAACTTAACAAATTTTTATAAAATTATAAAATAATTTGCATAATTAGTTAAAGAAATTAGTAAAAATTAAATTATTATAAATATTTTATAGATAAAATAGTAAATATTAATAAAAATAAGGTGTTTATGAGATTGAGAACGGAATGGCTCCTGCTGTCCGTCTTCACTGCAGTATTAATAATCGAGCAGGAAAGACAGTTTATCAGGGGCAGATCTGTGTTTTTCAATCTAGGTCGCGTATGTGGCATCGGTTTCAAACTAACAACAAAACACCATTAACAACTTTCCGCCATCATGGTAGGCTACACGCATGCTCCGACATAAATCGCCGGCATCACGTGACGGCCGGTTATCATCCCCCAAAGAGAATCCTCCCCCTCTGCCTGTGTGGTGTGTCGACGGTGCGCAGATCAACGTACAGGTGCACACACATGGTCGACGGTGTTACAGTCGGAAATAGCATGTTGGTAGTGTTGGCTTAGTGCATTTTTATTAGGCTTAACGGTTTAACCCCGTCTCTGATATCGAGACTGGGGAAAGTCGAGTATTGCATGGTTTCGTCATGAATAGTAAACAACACATGTCTCTACATCCTTCGATTAACACTGGAACTGGAACATGTTTCCCCGGTCGCTACTCACCAAATTACAGAACAACAGATCCTATGAGAAGACACTGCATGGGTAACCCAACGGTAGGTATCACTTTCATATCGTTTTAAACCAAAAATTACAACCCCGTTTAATCACAAACATATTAAACACTTACCTAACTTTATAACCTATATAAAAATGATAAAAAGTTCGAGTTGTTTGTAAAAATTATAGACGAAATTAACTTATTTTTATCTCTGGACACATTTAAAGTTGCTATTACAATAATAATAATATAGTTAACTTAAAGAAATTATCACTTAACTCTTTATAAATCTACATTGTAGTCATGCGAAAGCTAAAGTTATGAATAATTTGTCTGCGGAATGTTTGAATAACTTATAAAGGTGCACAAGGTGTTAATTTAATCAAAACTCATCTTCTCAATAACATAGTTTTTTCCTCTTTCTTCTCTCTCCTTTCTTCATAAATTAATGTTTTTAAAAATTATATATTTTTTTAAATATTACGAAAAATAAAACAAAAAAGAATTTGTATATTTTGATACAATTTAATCTGTCAGATAGAA